CTTGAGAATGTCCACCTTTTCCTTGAAGTTATTGCGGGTGTAGCGCCTCATGATGGTTTCGCCGAGAGCGGATATGTCCACGCAGTACGGCCTTGCCCGTACTGACGGCAAGCATACTCTGAGAGGGGACGGCGGTGGTGGTGGTCATCCTTGGTCGCGTAGCGCCATTGGTGGGGACCTCATCACGTTGTCGTTAGTGTCGTAGAAACCCTCCACGCTGTCAGAGGACGAAGCTCTCTTCCAGCCTGGATGTAGTAGCGCGTTGCCTGGGCCGTCCCCCGTGGACTCCCTGGTGTCTAGGTTGTAATAATATACCTGAGCGCGCCACCTGGCAGGCATGCCATCGACTGGGCATGCGACCCATGGCCTCGGCAAGGGCAGTCGATGGCGGGATGCCAAGGGCAATGCGCGGGGGGCCCACCTTGTGCAAGGCCTGCGCTTGCGCGCGGGCGTCCCAGGGCACGCAATTCGATGGGTAAGTACACTGGCGGGGGTGGGCAGCATGGCGGGGATGGCTCGCTATGGCCGGCTGCCCGGTGCGTCGAGTGGTCTTTGACGACTCGATTGGACGTTTCAGGGAGCCTGGTGGTGGCTTACTGTGGTCTCGGTTGGTCTGCCCTGACTGGCTGGGTGCTGCCCATGTCGGAGATGATCTCGCTGGTCGGCGCACGTCTCGCGAACCCCAGCAGCTCGACCTGCGCCCCATAGTCGTCGCAGATGCTGTTGCAATAGTTAGTCGTTCCTCATCTCCGTGAGGACATCCCTTGCTCCTGCTTGGATATCGGGGGCGACGTGCGTCATCAGGTCGCGGGCGCGGGCGACGAGCGCCTTCGCGTTGCCGTGGACCTGGATGACAGCTGGCCCCTCCCATCTGGCAGGCTCGGGAGATGGAGGTCGCGCGATTACGTCTGCCTCTTGTGGTGGCGTCAAGTCCGCGTTTGCGCGGCGGCCCTCGCCATGGTCCTGGCACGTCACGTCAGCTGGTCGGTGCCCGCTGATTTCTGAACTGGTCGGCCACTGCGGGTTGCCGTTGGACGCCGGTCCCAATTGAAACTCGCACCTCTCGTTCACCTCTCTGAAGCGTTTGATGCGGACCCTGTGCTCGGCCATGTGGTCCCTGAGGATGTGGCACTGTTCGTTTGTGCCTTCGGTCAAACATACCTGGTCCCCGTTAGAATCTGACTCTGCAGCATGGGGCCCTGCCCGAGTCTGCGGCGCCACGCGCAGGTTGCATGGTTGTTCCTGTGGAAGACGAGGCGGGCACTGCGAGGACGCGCCGCTTTGGCGCCTATGGATCGCCAGGGTGTTCGCCAGGTAGAGGAGGAGGAACGACGCCCCGCTCGGCGCCGCGCGCGCAGAAGCTCCCGTCGGCCACGTGGAGAAGGTAGGAGACGCCGTGGGTTTTCAAGTGGATGGCCTCTCGTTCTGCGCCCTGTCGGTCAGCCCGCTTGCGCGCCTGCGCGGCCAAACCCTGGCGGACCTGGTCGACCCCAGGCACCTCGGCCCCGCGCGGGCCAGTCTGGGGCGGGACGAGGTCGACCACGTCGGCCTCGGCAAGCTCCTTGGCCCGCGCCGATGGAACGGCGGCGATCAGGGCACGGCGGCGCGCGCCATCACGGCTGCCGACACCCCTATCCCCGACCCACGCCGCCGTTCTGTAGTGAAGTGCGCGGGTCGGTCTTTCCGCGCAGCGGCGGCCCACGCTGCCCGCGCCGATGTCCACGCGGTTCCTGGTGGAGAAGCCGCGCGTCGCACCGTCGGCCTTCTCTGCTGTTGAAGGTTTCTGGTAGCAGTCCCATCTGCGACGCGCCTGGCGCTGTCGCTGCTGGCTTTGCGATGCGCGGGTCCAGTAGCCCGTATTCTGGGTGCCTGTAGCCGAGCAGTTCCACCTTTGGTCGGACGCTTTGCCCGCGCAACCCACGCCCCCGGCTAGTCTTCTCGTTGAAATTCAGGCGGCGCTCGACGCAATGTCTGGTCGCCCATGCCGCTGTAATTGCTCGCGCCCTCTCTGCGCGATTTGAGGTCGGGCCCTTGGCGATCCCGATATCGGTTTGTCGGGGGATGTGATCTTCGCGAGTCGGTCGAAGATTTCGAGGTCGATCGCGGGCGGCGGAGGGGGGGGGGGGGGGGGGGGGGGCGATCCCGCCGTCGAGCTCTCTGCCCCAGCGCTGGCCAACAGGTGGCTCAATTGCAGGCGGCGACTGCAGGGTCGCGCCTGAGACCTCGAGCCACGTCTGCGGCCTGCAGGTTGGGGAGGGAAGGAGGGAGAGGGGGAATTGGCTCGGTGGCTGGGCGGCGTTTTCGACCACCTCTTTCCTGTGAATCCCAATCTCCCCCCGTTGGCCCAGTGGTCGGCTGAAGGGCAGCCTCCTCTCTAGCCGCGCGAGCGATAACCGCCGGCAGACGCGGCTTAAGTTTGAGTTGAGGCATCGCCCGTCAGTGGGCACGCCCCGAATTTAGCGGGCCGCGCAGGTGGCTGGTCAATCCCGAATAGCCGATCAGATAGCAAGGCGGCAGCCGCGACGCAATGGGCGTCGTCGCCGATCCCCCCCCCGCCTAGAACACCACCCCCATCATCTGGCTCTGCGTGCATCAACAGCGCTGCGCTTCGCTGCGCCCTGCGGAGTCACAGGTCACACGGCTGGCCCGCGGCGCGGACGATGGAGTCGCACGCGGGCCGCGCGGCGTCGGAAGTCGCAGCACGGGTCCAATGGCGCGTAGAATACAAGGTAGGCGCCTTCGGCAACCCATCGATCCGTCGTCGGCGCCGCGGCCTATCTCGGGCGGGTAGCCCCCGATCGAGCAGCTGCCAATATCGAGTCGAACTCGGCAGGGTCGGTCTGGGCAGCGGCAACGAGCCAAGCGCCGCCCTCGTCGCGCCTCAAACGTGGATGTATTCCGCCCCCGCGATTGCATCTGCATTGGTTGGGTTCCCAAAATATCCGCGCAGGTGGTCCTGATTCTCTAGTTGCCAGAAGGCTCGCGGGCGTGCGAGCCATTCATTGGTTATCTCATGCACTGGCCTAAATACACCAGTCGCACAGTGGGTCGCAGCAGTCAGCGCTTGCATTCGGGAAGTAGCCAGCTGCACGGCACAGCACGAGGCTTGTCGCGCGCAGCAGCTGGCTTCCGATGCCAATATGGTCGTTGTCGCTGTCCTTGGGGTAAAACAATTATCATGGTTGCTGTTTCGCCGTGGACGAGGTTGACGGTGGGCGTCTGGCAGGCCTCGCGCTCTCGCCACGCCCCACGTCTCGCGCAGTGGCCCGACCACAAGTGACGCCACCTTCTCTTCGCGCGCTGGGTTGATCCTGAAGACGGTCGTGGCCCGGTGAATTCAATCCTCTACAATCACGCGGTTGGCAACGTCGATGGGTAATGCGCATGTCTGCGTACTGGGAGGTGGTTACAAGAGGCGCCACGTCGTCTGGATCCCACTCGTGATCGACACTAGCAGCAAGGACGTCGACGACAGCAAAAAGGGCGACGTCGACGTCGACAGTCTACCGCAGCAGCTCGCCGACGGAGAACCACAGGAGAAGAGGCCGAGACTTGCACCGCACCTGGATCCGAAAGCGTTCTTGAGCTGCAGCAGGTGGAGGGGAAGTGCTCCACCCATGCCCGCGGGTCCCCTTCTCGCCCACCGTCCGCTGCATGGGTGGAGGGCGAATCGCACACTGTCCTCGCGCAGGTCGCAGGTCGCAGGTCGCAGCTGGGTCGCAGAGCGCCTGGGTCGACAGCTGGGCAGCTCGACGGGCGGTATCCTGTCCTTTGCTGCGCGCCTGTTCGTTGGAGCAGGCCGTCGGTCTTGTGGCTTGGGATGTGGGCATCGTCAGGTGGTTGTCCTGCCTTGCCGTTGCTTCGCGGGGTCGCTCGCATGATCTCGCGGATGTCGTCGGTCCCCTAATCGTTGGATGGACGCACTGCTGTCCTCCATGGTCCTGCGCATAGTGGGGTCGCCTGGAAGTGCTTGACGAATATTGCGTGGCTGTGGTACTGGTAGCTGCATGTTATACGGATGGAGCCGCGTGCCCTTTTCGTCGGACGTGTCTCGATTTTATGGCAGCTTCCACTGTGGCCGTAGTAGGCACGTCTCTTTGCGAATGTTGTTCCACATTGGTTGCACATGAAGCTGGGTTTGGGTGGAGGTGGTGGCATGCTCGGCACTCGTGGCATGTGAACGGTGTTGTGTTCAGGCCCAACGGCGTGGCATCGCTGTTCTTGGTGAGCTCGGACTGCCTGTCGTCGTGGATACCTGGTGATGACGGTATTGACGGTCGTTTTGAACCTGTTGGGTTCACTTCGAGCAGCCCGTCATACATCCCGCATGTCAGAGAGATCTGCGGGCTGCTCGACAGTACGCAAGTAGCTATACATCCATTGCATGCCCTCCATCCACGTGCTGGCCCAACTTGCATCACGATATTGATCTTGATCGGGCAGCCTCAAGAACACGGTGGGCCCGTGGATCAGTCGACGCGGTAGATATCGTAGTCTCTTCGCTCGTTTTGCCACGTCGAGTGGCATCCGGTTGGCGCATGCGGAATAAATTTAGGTTCGATACCTTGGTGGCGCTGGTGTCCGTAGCGTGGTGTCCGGTAACTTGTCGGTGCCCCTTCATGTACTGGACAACTACGGTCAAGTTGTCTGTCTCCGTGAATGTACTCCAAAACCGCTCGCTGTACATCAATGTGGTGAGCACGAGAGAGTCGTTATGAAGTACATCCTTGTTGATTGGAATGTTCCTTCACTTGAAGATCTGGGGCTGTCGGTTCACCAGCGCCTTGTTGGTTATGTTCTTGATAACCCCATGGCTGCCGTATATGCAAGGTGCCAAAAGCCGTCCGAGCGTCGACCAAGTCAACAGTCTGGTCGGCGTAGGCACTGGGTATGCTGTTGATGCCCTCCTTGGCCACGTGCTCCTTTGTGGTCTTCGATCCGTTGTAAAAAAGCAACAGCATGATTGTGGTTTTCTCATTGTTGAGTCATCACCGTCCCCATCATCAGCAGCAGCATCATCACCATGATCATAATCGCAATCATCACCAACAATAGCATCATCATCTTCTTCAGCATGGTCATCATCATGTTCAGAATCCGCATCCGCGTCAGCATCCGCATCATCATGCTCATACTCATCATCAGCATCATCATCATCCTCATCCTCATCCTCATCTTCCTCATCATCATAATCACCATCACCAGCATCATCATCAGCAGCGGCATCCTCATCATCCTCATCATCATCAGCATCATTATCATCATCTTCTTTAGCATGATCATCCTCATCTTCAGAATCATCATCATCAGCATCATCATCATCATCATCATCATCATCATCATCATCATCATCATCATCATCGTACTCCTCCTCCTCTTCTTCCTGCTCCTCACGTTCCTCCTCATCATCATCATCATCATCATCATCATCATCATCAGCATCATCATCATCATCATCATCCTCATCCTCCCCCCCTCCTTGTCGCGAGACATCCCATCTCCAGGCCAACCGCCCCACGTGCCGAAGCAGCCGCAACGGCTCCGCTGGCCCCCTCGCAGAGTTCGGCGGCGCTGGCGGTGGAGTGGATGGAGGCCAAGGGGGCTGGAGCGTGCCGGCGCGCAAACACGAGCTCCTCTACAGTCAAAAACCCTACGAAATAAGGACGCGCGGCAAGGACGCAAGACCCTCGGAAGCCGAAGTTGGGATCTTGCTAGAACAAGGAAGAGCAAGGAAGAGCGAGGAAGAGCGAGGAAGAGCAAGGACGCAAGGGCACCCCGAGCAAAGTGGCGCGTCCTTATTAGGGTTTTTAGCTGTACTCTGTCGCTCTTCGAGCGACCCTCGACCCCCCCTGCGAGGGGCCGCACGAGCCGATCCGCCACGGACGGGCAGCGACGGCGACGAGGCCCGTGGCAGCAGAGGGGGGAGGAGTGGGCCCTGCGGGCCTGCCCCGCGCGGGAATACTCCTCCTAGCCTTTTCCCCGAGCCTCCCGTCTGCCTTCTGCTGTGTCCTGGCCCTCCTCCTCTTCCTCCTCCTCCTCCTCCTCCTCCTCCGCCTCATCCCCTCCTCCTCCTCCTCCTCCTGCTCTCCTCCTCCTCCTCCTCCGCCGCCTCCGCCCCTCCGCCCATCCCCCCCTCCGCTTCCGCCCCCCTCCGCTTCCCCCGCCCCGCTCCGCCTCCGCCTCGCCGGCAAACTCCTTCCTTGCTCTCCTCCTCCTTCTGCATCATCCTCTGCCTCCTCCTCCTCCGCCTCCTCCGCCGTCTCTCCTCACCCTCCCCCTCCCTCCCCCTCCTCCTACCTCCTCCTCCGACCCGCTCCCCGCCTCCTCCTCCGCCGCCTGCTCCTCCTCCTCTCCGCTCCGCCGTCCCTCTACGCACTCCGCCTCCGCCTTCCGCTCCTCCTCAGCCATCCTCCTCCGCACTCGCCTCGCCTCCGCCTCCGCCTCGCCTCGCCTCCGCCTCCGCCTCCGCCTCCGCCTCCGCCTCAGCCTCCTTCCCCTCCTCCTCCTCCTCCTCCTCATCCTCCTCCTCCCTACTCCTCCTCCTCCGCTCCTCTCATCCGCCTCGCCTCAGCCTTCCGCCTCCGCCTCCTGCCTTCCGCCTTCCTTCTCCTCCCCTCATCCTCCTCCTTCCTCCTCCTCCTCCCATCTCCTCCTCATCCTCCGCATCCTCCTCAGCCCTCCTCCTCTCATCCTCTTGCCGCCTCCTCATCCTCCTCCGCCTCCTCCTCCTCCTCCTCCTCCTCACTCCTCATCTCCCTCCTCTCCTCCCTCCTCCTCCCCCCTCCTCCTCCCCTCCCTC